CTTTGATCATAGTCGACATCACTTTGCCTTCAATGACGTGAGACTTGAGGAGGTTGACGAGCACAGTCATGTTATTCAGATTGACGGGTCCTAGCATAGCGATGGCCTCGTTGGTCGGTGCGAAGACGGTGTAAGGACCTGTACGAGATATTTTAATTCATGATTAATGTCCGCTGTACTCAGTTTGGCTTCACTTTGCTAACGACGGGCTGCGTCAACGACGCGATCATTCTTTGACGCGGATTGGAACTCAAGTCCCATCTAAATTTATGCAAGCCTCCCCTGCCCTCTTCAACAAAATGTTGATTAACCTTTAATTTAGGAGAGTCACATGTAGAAAAGGAATTATAATAATATGCCGTTCTTGAAGAGCGCACATCATAATTTATAATCATATAACGTCTCTATATGCGCTTCCACAGGACTATGGATATTATTACCCTGGCTTTAGCTCCGGCGACCGTAGCACTATGTGCATTCAAGGAAAACATCCTACCAAGTACCAACTAACGTACACCTGGGATGAGTGTGGCAAATTTTGGACATTTCTTGCCGGACCTTGTAGTTCACAGTCCGGAGACCTATCCACTAGACCCCAACACTTCTACATACAAGGACCCTATGTCCCCCTACCCAACAAGTCTTATTCTAGATCCGCGCCAGCACATTTTGATTTAATGAATAAAAGGAGAAAATATACCTCCAGTGTTGAGTGTTTCCTTAAGTCCAGCCATCTCAATCAATTCAACCAGCTTGGTGAACCCCAGAGTAGTCAGCTCATCGACCAGTCCCATAGGCGCAGATTCTCCCATGTAGGCTGCCGAGTCGAAAGGCACGGCCATGGCCACTCCGCAAAGCGCGGCAAACAACATCAACATCTTCATCTTGGAGGAGGAGCTTACCGATCCAAACGAAAGTCAAGACTGATTCGATGAGAATGACTTCCAATCTTTCAAACGTGCTTTTATAGAGACCTGCTGTCCTTTAGATCGTTGAATTGAAGATCGCTGATGCAAGCATAGATGATTGACGATAACAAATATTTACCCTCTGTCGGTAATTTAGACATTAATGTTGTTTACTTCGATTAAATTCCCAACTTCAATGACACAATATGGTAGAGTAACAAAATTAATTTGTCGTCTTTATTTGTGCTGAGTTCAGTGAGTTTGTGAATTCCAAGAACCTTCGGAAGATTGGATCATGTTATATTAGAAACTCGAAATAATAAGGGCATTCTAAGGGGGTGTATTGGGGTAATTATATAATATTTTTTTATAGAATCTTGGGTCACTTTGAAAAATTTATTTCATCACCACCATTGGTGTATTTGAATTGTTAAACATTGTATTACTTTATAGAATGAAAAGATGAGATGAGATCCAGAGGCGTAGCGAAATTTGCTGTTATTGTTGGGAGGGGGGGGGGTACATTTCTTACGTGGTAAAAGACCACAGATAATGTGCTCAATTTTACTTTTGTTTTGCCATTCGATCTGGGCCATGTGCCCCGATGCCCCCTACCTACGCCTCTGGATGGACTGTCCTTATCTTCGGACAGACTTTCAGCAAAGTCTATGCCTCTTGTTATCAACCGCCGCTTCCTCTGATGAACATGATGGAATAGCAATGTGTTCACGTGATACCATAGTCAAACTGACACATCTTAACGATAAACTCGTCTCCTTAAAATGTCAGACATAGTCTTCTTTTTTTTTAAATGGTTTATCGCATTAAAAGATTAATGTGAATGTCCTTGATCTGTTGACCGTTTCGAGGGTTAATGACGGTGATCTAGTTCCTAATTCCCGATGTAACCTAGTTCAGAATCAAGCCTATTTAATTTTGATTAAACACTACCTCCGCCTACTTACTTGCTTCCAGCTGAAGATGGCGTGATCATTAAGTTAGGACGCCTGGTGAAAAAGTATTTTCTCAGGCTGGGCCAACCAACTCAAACCAGTTCGTTGGGCTGTTTGAGTTTGATGGGCTGGGCTGGTGGCGGCTGGTGAGCATAACTATGAGTTTGTTGATAACGCCATCTTCGGCGGCTTAAATCAAGTGAGTACGAAATATAGAGAACGGTAAGATTCTGGACTAGATGTAAAACCACGTAACCTAACGGTTTACTCCATGTTTTCACGAAGTGACGGTAGTGAGGAAAATCGTAACGCAAAGTGAATGCAATTTTTTTTCACTACCGTCACAGCGACGAATTTATAGGACATAATTTGGATTAGCATGATAACTTAAACAAAATATTTAGAAATCGCCTACTGAAGGAACTATTAAATTACGACTACATCCGGGCTATCGCCACCCCCGGTCGCCACCAGATACCGGACAACAATCTCCAGAAATTTCAATTAATGAATATAATTGTTACTCTTGAAATGATCACCTAGGACAATTTTATTTATTCAGGGGCCGATCTCAAGGGGTATTCGTCTAAGAGGAAAGCCGCCTGATATGATATAAGTCTAGGGTTATTGTCATAGGAGGGCAGTAGTCCGGTGTTGTCCTAATGGTAGTTTTTATCAGGGGTAGTTGTCCGCGTGTTGTTGTAATGCAGGAATTTATGGTCCAGAGCCGAGGATTTTTTTTTTTTTCGGGGGGGGGGGGGGACTTATTTGCTTGTCGAACTGATGGTGACAAGTTACATATGTAAAGCCAAAGGATTTTTCCATTCAATCTTTTCAAAACAGTATTTGATTTCCACCCTTTCTCTCTGTCTTTTCTGTTGGGGTCGGGGGGGGGGGGGGGCAATACATGGCTCATAAATCTGGACTCAGATAAGCTGTGGAATCTCGTCTGCGATCCACGGTGGTATTGGCGTGTATTGGTATACACAGGACGATGTTTATTATCTTGATATTTTAGAAAGTGAATCATCTGTATCACGAAAATTACTTAAAGTGTTCATAAGAAAACACTTTAACTCTAACTTTTATCCAACCTATCTTTATTTGCGTTTTGACCTTAAATGCATGCTACATATACAGAATGATGAGAATAAACTTATATAGCGAGTATAGCTTTCTGATCATAACGTCCTGATGCATTTCCAGATAAGTCTGGACAATTACCGTAGCTGAGGAAAGAGTCACGACTTGTTTGTCAGTGCATTGTAATCAGGCGCGTACGCAGGGGGGGGGGGGGGGGGTGTTTTGGGGGGTTAAACCCCCCCTTTGGTATTTTTATGTGTGTAAACCCCCCTAAAAAATCCCTAAAACCCCCCCCCCCCCCCCCTTTGGATTTTTTTTTTTTTTTTTATTTTTTTTATTATTTAAAAAAAATAAAAAAAAAATAAATAAAAAAATTACCCCCATGGCTGACCTAAGAAAGGTGACCTTACCCCCACCCAACGGAGCAAATTGTCAAATTTTCAAATTTCGAGAAAAAAGAAAAAAAAGTGTCCTCTTACCCCGCCCCCCCCCCCCCCCCCCCCCCCCCGCTTATTCAGCGGTCGGTTGAGTCGTTGCGATTTTTTTGGGACCAAAAAAAAAAAAAAAGTGTCCGCTTACCCCCACCCCCCCCCCCCCCACTGAGCGACTTTTCGGCTGGCTGAGTCATTGCGATTTTTTTTTGGACTCCCCCCCCCCCCAAAAAAAGTGTCCGCAGTAGTAGTAGTAGTAGTAGTAGTAGTCAGGCACGTACGCATGGGGTGTTTTGGAGGTATAATCCCCCCTTCAATTGTTTTTATAAAATAAAAAAAAAAAGTAACCTGACCCACACCCCTACTGAATGAAATATCTCACCCCACCCCCCCCCCGCTTATTCTGCGGCTGGCTCAGTCGTTGCGAAATTTTTCCTCAAACACTGGAGGGGGAAAAAAAATAAAAATGTAGTATTAGTAGCAGTAACATCAGTAGTAACATCGGTAATAGTAGCAGCAGTATTTTTCCGGTGTACGTGTTATGGAATTAGCAATATCCGATATTTTTACAGTTTCTATTTTTGTTTTAATCATTAGCAGTGGTCACAACAAAGTAGTTGTATATAGCCCAATAATCAAGGGATAATATGTCTCTTTAATATTGTTTCTTCCATTTTGTTGTTCATGAATATCAGAAATCCATTATTGAAAATATGTATGTCTTCTGTTAACTCGACAGTTCATCAAATATTTGTATCTTTAGTAGTCAATTTTATTCATGTTCTAAATATGAATTACCTTAAATATATGTTTGTTAATTTGTTGCATCACATCACATCTTCTGATTTGATCATGATCGTGGGTGCGATTGTACCCTTGAATGGACCTACAAAAAGAATAAAACGTAATACATGTACTACCCACACAGCCAAATCGACTTCAACCCGACCGATTCTTGGCCATACGTGGCAATGGAATTATTTGATCTCGGTCTATTGTTGATCTGATATGAACTCGGTGGTGTGGCTGTGGTATAAGTCTATAATAATAATACAGCGTCCAATCATATCCATCCAGCACATCCTGTAAGCGAATACCATTATGTATACCATGATATACCAGCACATTCTCGAATCAGATATCCTATACCGGACTGGTGAAGCATCCAATAGGAGGTGGCGTGGGGGGGGGGGGGGGGGAGGCCTTCACACTAGGAGGACCAAAAAACGGTTTAGGAGGGGCTGTATCATTTTCATATCACATATCTTCACCTCCTCTCCCTCCCTCCCCCTTTCTTTCTAACTCTCTCTCTCTCTCTCTCTCACACTCCCTCTCTCTCTCACACACACCCACACACACACGCACACAAAAAAAACACACTCTCTCTCTCTCTCTCTCTCTCCACTTCTTTTTTTTAAATAAAAATCATTTTCATTATCATTGGGGGGCTTCTGCAACTCTCAGCCCCCATACTCATGCCCAAAATTACGCCACTTTTTTTCTTTCACGAGTCGCTCTTGAAAGCACTCCAATATTTGTTATATTTGGCTTCGACGACTTCTGTTGAAGTGACAAAAGAAGTGACGTCACAATAGTTTGCATGTGTGACCTGTTAACGACTGAACTTGAATATCAGGGTGAAGCGAGGCCATATAATGCTTTTATAACTCTTTTGTTAAAAAAAATACAGTGTATGAAGAAACTGTCATACTTGTATTTGCTCGGTTTCTCATACAGTAAGCATCATTGGGTCTGTTCGGTCAAATGTAAAGTTTGTGTTCAAGCTGCACTTCGTATGTAGCTAATACGTCTACCTCTAAACGTTGTCGTAGTTCCTCACTCAGAATGGCTCATCAAAAGGATCATTTTGTTCCATGGTTTCAGAGTGTGTATTTGTGTTTGTTCTTCAGTTTCATATTGCCAGGTGGTAAGTTATTAATTGCTTTCGACTTTGTATGTACCATTCCCCGCCATGACGGTTAATTGGGTGTTATAGAAACTGAGGTGGAAGGTTTTTATCAAATGAGCTTGCAACTCCAATCACTCTGTCATTAGAAGTTAAACATCAGTTTCAGCACCTTCTTTGTCTGGTTATAAAACAGATTGCAGAAGGGTCTATTCCGGTCTTGAAGATCATGATATTTTTTTTTTACCTCGCTGAGGATGGGTGATCAGTTATATCATTATCTTCATTTATCGGGATTTCTTATCATGAGTAAACCTTTATGGTATCTATCGCTGACTGATTTACCAATAGACTGGCGTCTCATTATAAGCTTTTTGGTAATGAACATGTTGATCGCCTCCCTTCACAATCTCAAACTAGAAATTTTCTTTACCCCCATCAGCTTACACCACTGTCACACTAATGAGGCCAACACCAGACTGACTGCAGACTGACCAATAACAGATTACGGCCCAAACTAGGGCGGTTTCCATTGTGTTTTGAGTCGGTTGGGGGCTTGACTATAAAAGTACGACGCTAGTCACAACCGACTCCAAACCGACAGATTATTGGCCATTAATATACCTCAGTCACACTGCCACAGTGACTCCACATCGACTCAAAACCTCTTGTTTAAAGGGAGGAAGTAACTTTGTCTCAGATTCTGATTCAAAATCCTGGATTCAGCTCATGCTGAAATGATAATTATAAATCTTTAGGTCAGTCAGGAAGCCCATGACTTTTACAAGCCGATTACCTGTCTGATTATCAAGATATTTATGATTGGAAATCGAAATCAAATTTTGCGTTTTCCCTGGTTCACACTTTAATCCAGTGGCGGATCCAGGGGGGGGGGGCCGGGGGGCCCGGGCCCCCCCCCCTTGAGAAAAAAATCATGTAAAATCACGTGATTTTTACCTTTTTTGGGGGTTGGGCCCCCCCCCCCCCTGGCGCTCAAGGGGGGGGGGGGGTGCAAATTGAATTTTTTTTGAGGATCAAAAAAAAAAAAACCCCTGGGCAATCATCCTCCGGAAAATTACCCCCCCCTCCCCCGGAAAATTACCCCCGAGGACAACTACCCCCAAGGACAATTACCACCGAGGACAACTACACCCCGCGGACAATTACCCCGAGAAAAATTACCCCCCCCCCCAGGACAACTACCCCCCGCGGAGAATTACCCCCGAGGACAATCAGGATTCATTGGCAAAAGACGATCTGTACGGCCATGCATTATGGCTCAAGGCGTGGGCACACAGAAGATTTTTTCTGTTGGGGACCAGGGGTAAATTCAATGAATTATTGACAATTTATTGCATTTTTTTTTAATTTGTGGGAACTTCCCCCTTCCCTAGCCCCCGCGGCGTACAGTCATGGTTCAGTGGCAAAGCAATGGCCTCGAAACTGTGAGGCCTCAGGATGAAAACCGTGTCGATGTGCTATATTAGTGCCCTTTTGTGGGGCATTAATCCTCATGACTGTCATTTATGACTTAAGGGCGTAGGTCCCTTGTTGATAAGCATAGTACCATACACATGCTTAGCAGTCACGCAAAACAAACACTGGCAAATTATTATTCAATAAAATCTTTTAGGAATAAATCATTGTCAAAATAATTCCATAAATTGGGGTAAAAAAATATATCCTACGTTATAAGCGACAGTGTATATCTTCGGGCGCCTTGCTGTCAAAATATTGTCAGCGAGCGAGGAAGAAAGACACTTTATTGTTTTTAAAATTTATTTTCTCATGTAATTACATACTCTAACCGTTTCTGATATTTGTTTTTCACAAAATCAACGTTTTTCAAAATTATTGTAACTAAAAATCATTCTCTTGCGGCACCCCGGTTGACAGTGGCGGATCCAGGGGGGGGGGCCCGGGGGGCCCGGGGGGCCCGGCCCCCCCCCCCCTCTTGAGAAAAAAAATCATGTAAAATCACGTGATTTTTACCTTTTGGGGGGGTTGGGCCCCCCCCCCCCCCTGGCGCTCAACGGGGGGGGGGGGGGTGCAAATAGAAATTTTTTTGAGGATCAAAAAAAAAAAAATGTGCTCACTACCCCCCCCCCCCCCCCCCCCCCCCCCCCCCCCCCCCTAAGCGAATTTTTGGCCGGCGCGATTTTCAAATTTTCGGGAGCAAAAAAAAAAAAAAAGTTGGGCCCCCTCCCCTAAGAAATCCTGGATCCGCGCCTGCCGGTTGAAAAACGCTGCGCAGGAGTTACAAAATCAATGAGATGAATTACCGGAGACCGGATCTTCATTGTCTTTTGACATGGCACCGTACATATATAACTTGAAGGCAATTTTTATTTCAAAATAATTTAGCGTACAAGAAAACATATTATACTTCAGCATGACAACAGAAATAAATAGATAACGTGAATTGAATGAGGGCCCATTATACATACAAAGACAAATACACGATCAGCTGATTGAAAAAGTTACAGAGGATGCATAAATAAAATCTTACATGCTAATTTCTTTGCTGTGCCATTGTTGGGGAGAGAGGCTGTTACGCATAGTCATCTGCGCGCAATATTTGTTAAATTTCTAAGAAATGAAATTTTAAATAACTAAGAAAATAAAAATTTCTGAAATTTCTGAAAGAATCTTGCATTATACGTCACAGTGTTACAACTTCCTCGGGGTGATTGACGATGGGGGGTAGTTGTCCTCGGGGGTAATTGTCCAGGGGTGGTTGTCCTCGGGGGGTATTTGATCTCGGGGGTAATTGTCCTCGGGGGTAGTTGTCGGGGTATTGTCCTCGGGGGTAGTTATCCTCGGGGATAATTATCCTCGGGCGTAGTTGTCCTCGGGGGGTAATTGTCCTCGGGGGGTAATTCTCCGGGGTAATTGTCCTTGGGGGTAGTTTTCCCGGGGTCGATTTTCCAGGGGGGGGGGGGGATTGTACAGGGGCTAATTGTCGTGATACGTTGTTTTTGGTCTGGTGCCGGTCCCCTCGGTGTGACTAAGGTATTTTCAATAGCTTGTTTGTGATCAGGCCTTTCATCGACTTTTTAAATATAAATTATCAGAATTATTGAACCTCTTGCACCCAATCAGAATTTTATGAGGTATTTTTTATTCTATCGGATCGACTCTTCCCAAGAAAAATCACCATAACCCAGACAGTTACCTCGGACAATTACACTTCTAAACCTGTCCTGATTTTTTCGCTGTATACCGTATTTCTTGTCAGGGTTTCCCCCAAAATCTACTTTAAGTGTCAAATTAGTTTATAATTTGATACTTTAGTAAAGATTGGAGTTGTCGTGGTTTAGTGGTTCATTCACTATCATTGAACTGCAAATCCCAGCCCGACACAAACGGATTTTGGCAAGACATTACTCCACATTTGCCAATCTCCACCCAGGTGTAAATGGGTTCTTGGTAATTCCTGGGGTAAGAATAATTGCAGTGCCCTCAGGAGGAGCAGCATTGGTGCTGATGTTTTTTTTTTGTAGGTATATAAAATAAGTATTATTGATTTTATTTTATTTATTTAGCAACAGCAATACATTTCATACAATAATTTACATATACAAGAAGAGAATCTATTGGTTGGTGAAAGGGGCCAGATAATAGCACATGTACTAGTCGAGCCTTACCCTTAAACAGCTAAACAAAGTATTATTATCATTATTAATATTCATATTAACATTATTAGTAGTAATATCATTATTATAAGTAGTAAAAATGCGATGTTGTATTTATGTTCAGATAAACTAAAAAACAACAGTAAATCCGCAATAACCTCGGGTACCAGAAATATGGCAATTTCAGTATGTGTGCGTGAGTGTGGCGGGAGGGGGGGGGGGGGAGGGGTGTCGGCCCCTTCTTGTTTTATGTTGGAAAAATTTACGTTAATTTCAGCTTCCGTCAATATTTCATTGTTTCTTTTCTATTACAGGCAGCCCCTTTGAAGGTGCTGAATTATACAAGAACTATACAATACTTGGTTGGACGGTCCCCGTATGCACGCTTTCTCTATTATGCAACAGTGACGAATCATGTTCTACCAGCTACAATTCTGATGGAGGATGTCATTGTGATCCTTACTGTTTTTATTTCAATGATTGTTGTATCGACTATCTTAATGAGTGTAAGACGAACCCTGCTGATGATGTCTTCCATGAGGCTACTGAAGGCATCGATCCAAGTCAGTTCTCCTGCGTGCAACCAGCGGGAAATCCCCGTTACAATGATAAGTATTGGATGGTGAGCCAGTGTGATGTACGATGGAGTAATGAAGAGATGAAAGCAAAGTGTGAAGGGCAGGCAATGGATGAAGATCCACTGACATTAATGCCCGTTCAATATTTGAAGAGTATCACATTTAAGAATGTGTATGTGCTGTTTGTAACTACAAAAACATCAGTGGTGTAACACCCTGGGGAATTGATGGTACATGTCTCTCTGAAGAATACTCAGATTTATCACGAAGTGAGTTCTCTGTCCAACAAATCGGTGATATTATGAGGGACTGCCTCATTTGGAACTTTCAGAGCCCCTTCTCACAAACGGCTGCAAGGCAGTGCAGAAATTCTGAAATTGTAACATGCGACGTCGATCGTGAGAATGAAACAATGGCTCTCTTGGCGCAGGCTTGTGAGTCGTACACAGGCATTATCAGCATCTACAAAAACCCTCACTGCTTCATGTGTAACGAGGCTTTAGTTTACAATCAAACGATGGAAAGAATCTATTTGAATTTGATTACATGAGATGTCCCCCTTTTACCATTGACTTTTCAATTGTTTCACCTAACATTCCTTACCCCAGTTACCCGATTTCTGTCCTTTTCGATTTTTCATCTGTGGATGGGCTCTCTAGCCAGGAGCCACTAATCGATCTTTCTTGTAGAGATAACCAAATATTTGATAAGTTTAATAAACTGTGTATTAATCTCACGTGCCCAGTAGGGTATGATCTCATAAACGGCACTTGTCAAAGGCTTCCTGCAAATTCCCATTGCTCGTTCAAAGAAGCCATTCCTATTCTTATTGAAGTGGAGTGCATGTATAATGATGGAGACATGTCAAACTGCCATCCCGATGTGCGTTTACACGATTACGTAATTTCTTTAATCAATGGCAATTACTTATCCTCGATGAATCTTACCATAAGTAGGTTCCAAGCCGAAATCCAGGGGAATGATTCATTCACCAAATGTACTCAGAACTTGGACATTTGGGGCTATCTAGGAATCAATATAGACGTATCTCAAGAAAACCTCGACAGTGTTTTCTTGTCAACCAACCAACAAAGCTCAGCTGTGAATGACGTCTGCAGCAATATGACTTTCATGATATCTATTGGATGCAGCAACACCAATGAAAGTTGCCCTAACAGAATTTTGTCTACGGATGAATTTATGAAATCACACGACAATGCAACAGGACAGGTATTTTTCCTTGGAGAAAAAAAATACAGCCTTCCGGAATCTCTCTATGTAATTGAATACGATATCACATCATCTGGAATGAACTTAAAACGAGAAAGTTTAAAAGGGTGTCAAGTTCCATCTGAAACTTGTGCATTAGTATCACAGAATATATCACTATTTGTTGACTTGGGCAATGGATCTTACATTTACTCGCCTCTTAACAGAACCCTGGCGCCGAATGACTATCTGGATGTTGGAAATGACACAATTTTCGTTTGCTCTTACGTCTTGGTAAGTGAGCAGTCTTCTGCAGGATTCCTTCGTTTTACATCTGCTCAATCAATTTTAAGCACCATCGGTATTTCCTTGTCTATAATTGCTCTTATCGTAACATTTGTTACTTATCTCAAACTCAACCTTCTTCGGAAAGCCACGTCGAACACTCTCATCATGAGTCTCTGCATAACTCTGATCTTCGCCCAATCTATCATCTTATTTGGTGGACTAGCCGCGATGAATTCTAATGCATGCCTCTCGTTTGCTATCTTGGGTCACTTCGTGTGGATCGCAGTTTTCTCTCACACAACGGCTCTTGCTTTCGATTTACACCGTCGATTCGGCATAGCAACGAAATTTGGCCGAACCGATGAGGGCGCTGCAGTACTTTCAAGGTTCCTTCTGTTTGCATGGGGATGTCCAATACTTGTGGTTGTTCCTTGCCTTGGAATTTATTTCAGCGGCACCAGGCTTCCACACTTCAACCTGAACTACAAAACAGGTACTTGTTGGATCGGTGATGGTATGGCCAATTTGTACGTCTTTGGAATCCCCGTCGCTTCTCTCCTTGTGGTCAATCTCATTTTGTTCGTCATGGTAGTTGCCGGTCTTCACCAGATGAGAATGAGCCCTGTCAACAAACACAAGAGTACAGATTCTAACATATCATCTGACCTTTTAATTTACATCAAGGTGAGTACTTGTTACACAAAAATAAACTGGATATATAGATCTGAGGCCGTTGCATAATAAACACAGTTTCATTTGTTTTTGAGACACCAGTGAAAAGAAGAGAAAGGGGGAAACAATATTGGAAGAGGTATGTAAAATACGTCGCTGTTTTTTTCATCTTCAAACATTTTATGAGAGGTAGCTTGAAACCTTAGTGATCATGAGTATCGTACAGAATGTCGTGGCGATACTGTATTTGGCTCCGTAGGGGAGAACATTTCTAATATATACCATCCCATAATAGAGTTTGTATCATATCTTTGAGTGTATTCTCTGCAAAGAAAACATACGCATAAAGAAACATAATGTACGGATGAAATGTCTTTTCTCTGTTTACTGAGAAATAATCATACTGGCCTGCAAACTTCTTTTTTTCTTTCATTCATTGTTAAAACTATGATTGGTTCTATTCTTTACTTCTTGCTTTCCCTTCCTGGAACAGATGTCCACTCTGCTCGGTTTTACCTGGGTCTTTGGTTTCGTAGCTGCCTTCGCTAACGTCACAGCTCTCTGGTATATCTTTATCATCCTCAATTCTCTCCAGGGAGTCTATATCTTCATTGCCTTTATCTGCAACAAGCGTGTCTTCAAGCTCTGGCAGGACTCTTGTACATGCCTCGATAGGGTCTTCTCGACTTCGTCCTCCAAGTCAAGGGCGACTTCGTCAGACGTGGTAACAATGAAAAAATCGGACTGGAAAACGACAACTAGCGAATCGATGCTCTGACTCAATTGCTAGGCATTGCATCATGGTCATCAGTATCCACATACTTTAATGTTCCACTTAATAATAACTGAATACACTTCTTTACTCTCATTTTCCCTTTCTTACTTTCTGTCTTTCACTCGCTCTCTCTCTCTCTCTCTCTCTCTTTCACTTTTTGTTGGCCAACCGCTATTCCATTATGCATTGTTTACATATAGTATGTAAAAATGTTGTATATACATGTACATGTCTACATATGACAAGGACGTCAGTTCAAGTTTTGCTTATGTATGACGACCCTTTTTTTGTTTATGTCTGATTTTATATGACCATCTTAAGAATATTTTTGTGAAGATGTGTATTGAAAGTAAATAAATATCATTAGACGGAACAAAATTAAAACCTGACGGTTTGCCAATGCTTACTAATGGTGAAAACGGGTTTAGCATATGAGGTTAATCGTAGGTCTAAGTTGTTCCTTTTTTTAACGTTATTTGAGACCAGGGTCGAGTTCGACTAGATTGTAAATAAGCGGACCGGTGAGCCTAATCGAAGTAAATCTTGAATATAATTTAACTGGCTCTTGTAAAATATATAGATTCTAAAAATAAATGATTCTACGTGACTTGTATAGACAAATGTAGAAAATGTGAAGTTGATCACATGTCTGTATGCAGTAGTTAATGTAAAATTACATTTCTGTCCTGTTTGAACTCATTGACCGCCTCTTGAAAATAAAAATAATACACAACATTTATTAGGCGCACCATAGTCTGACTAAACAAATATTTACCAAAACTTATGATAAACACACAACTTATACATCTGTTCTTGATTCAATAAATCATGCATATATAATAATAAAAATAAGAGTGAGATCAAACATACATAAGGTCAAACATAGGATCAAACATAAGATCGAACAAACAAGAAATAAGACGGTGTGCACCTCCTTTGACCGACTCACAACTGCAGCATATCATTCATGAATAAAAACGGAGCGTTTTCAGCAAGGACTTAAATTGGTCAAGAGAATGAATATTATAAAAATGTGCTGGTGATTTATTCCAAAGGGGAATTTACTGAGAAAGCTCGATCGCCATATTTTGTAACGGTACGAGGTCCAAGGTTTAACTGCAAGGTTGATGATGATCAAAGAGGTGTTAAAGAACTAGAAGAACGTAAGGAAATCAAATTTGAAAGATATTTAGGGGCTTGGCCATGGAGAATTTTGTGTGTAAGAAGAAGAACTTTAAATTTTATACGATGGTGCATGAAGAGAACGCAATATTGGGGTTACGTGCTCAAATTTTCTCGAGAGAGTAACAAGCCTTGCAACAGTATTCTGAATTCTTTGAAGTGGAAGAAGGTATGAATGCGGAAGGCCAGAAAAAAATGAATTACAATAATCAAGGCGGGAGGATACAAAGGCATGGGTTAATTTTGCAGTTGTGGGTCGGTCAAGTAGTTTCCTAATTTTCCCAATTTTAAATATTCCAAAAGATACCGATTTACAGACGTAAGTGGTATAAGATGACGTCATATTTCCCGTTCTAAATGTCAATGTTTTCTTTGTGTGATATAAACGAAATCTTGATTGTTTGTACATAATAAAGAACGATTTAATGTATAAACGATAGTTGTGTTGAAATGTCTACATGTGTATAATGAATGTTTATGATCAAACCCAATCTTTCAAGCAATATGATAAATATTACAAGCCCCAGAAGCCTTTGCTGAGCATTACTGAAATATCTACTGGACGAAAAACTGAACTATTGTCATACTGATCGTCTGAAGTTGTACATTAAGCTACATGATTTAATTGTGTTTATTTGTAAACAGTATATATACGCTCCTTGAAAGATACGAACAGCACTTTGCGTTCAGACCTACGAACACATTTTGTGATCGCATTTAATGTGAAATAATGAAATAATTTTGTATCAGGGGCTAACCTCGCGATTACCTTGTTTTTTTTTAGTTAGCTTATAAATAATATTATTTATATTGTATTGACTATAATTAAACTAATAAGTCGGGGATTCGGTAATATTTTCAATATTTTAAAATTCGGGAAGGAGAATTACGCTAACACATTATTGATTAATACAAAATTTGTCATTTTTCCAAAAAAAATTATTAAGAATATGTTTATGCACTTATTTTTGTCTGAATTTATGCTGCAAGAATCTAACGTGAACAGCCAAAAATTACCACACAATTATGTTCTGCTAATACCAACAGCATATGAATACATATCACACACCACACACATGGGTTAAATGTATAACCTAAAATCTGTCATTGCAAAGGTAAATCAAGATATTGTAACTGTAACCCTGAACGGCATCCCCTGAACAGTAATTTTCAGCCACCTAAAAATAAAAGAACAACTGTATCCGTTCCGCCATTGGTGGGCGAACGATATTATAAAAAAACAGAAGCCCTACCGAATGGAACTTACTTTTAGGCAACCCTTCTCAAACGTCCTTTATCCTCCCGAGCCATACTGTACTAGAAGCACTACCGCAAATCCCCTCTAACGCAATCTCAGTTCAGCTGTAGCAGTATGGTTTAGTAGCTCACTGCGTCCCTAGCTGTTCTGCTCTGCTCCTATTGAATCCTCTTATTCAGGGGCTTCCCTTAAAAGTTCAGACCAATCCCCCCCCCCCCTCTCCCTCCCCTTTCGGCGCCCCCAAACCCGGAATCACATGATTTGATTTTGAGTGGGTGCGATTTTACCTTTGAACTGATCTATAAACAACAAAAATAGGATAATACACTAGTCACAACCAATTCTCGGCCATGCGGGGTAATGTTTTGTTCTCTTTTTTCAGACTGTACGTCATGGCTGTTTTTCCGAATGATTTTGGTTTCGGTGTGGCTGTGCTATGAGTGGTGGGTGTGATTATATTCTTGTTTCTTGTTTCAATGTTCCACATTTCACATAACAAGGTTGTCTCATTAGAGTAAACAAGAAAGTGCATAATAATGAAATAAACAAAACAAGGATGCACGTAGCATAGAGAACTGTTAATGTGAAATAATGGGAAACTATTAAGAAGCAATGAATCTATAAAAAAATAACATAACAGGTAATACCCCAGTCACACCGACAAACCGACCCCAATCCGACCGTTTCTTCGTTCTGCAGGGTAATGGAATTTTTTGATCTCGGTCTGCTGTCGATCTGATGTCGAATTCGGTGGTGTGGCTGTGGTATAAGCCTATAGTAATAATACAACGTCCATGTATATCCGTTCACACATCAGTAAGCGTATACCATTAGATCTATTACATGATATACCGGGACACTCGTATCAGATATCCTATACCGTACTGTGAAGCATCCAATTGGAGGTGGAAAGGAGCAGGTTTGGGGGGGGGGGGGAGGATGCTATTCACACTATAGGAGGACCAACAAAAACCGTGTAGGAAGCCCAATAAACAGAACACTAAAAAATAACCTCTTTTGGGAGTGTATTTTTAGTGATTTTAAAGTATGGTGCCTTTTGAACGTTATCGACACGTGCCTTCGTTTAAAACAAAATGTGTAGGCTTGTAGCCCCCCCCCCCCCCCCAAAAAAAAAAAAAAAAAAAAATCACACTCAAACAAACAAAAATGGCAAAAAAGGGGGAAAGGGAGAATTTTTATGAGTTAAAGGAGAAAGAAAAAAAATAAAAGAGAATCAAACAACGATAAAGAAGAGAGGTGCGAGAGCATGAAGAATTGCATTTATTTAAACAAAATAATTGGATAACAACCAGGGGCATCGCTAAGGGGGAGGGGGCGTAGGCGCCAGAAGTGAGGGGGGCAGGGGGCACCCCCCCCCACCAAAAAAGTGGGGTGGGGCAAAACGTATTCTGCCCTCCAAAAAAAAGAGGAAAAGTAGTAAAGAAGTAAAGATAATTTGTATTTTTAACCAAAAAGAAAATAAAAATAATAAAAACCTGAATTGAATCATATTCCATTCAAAGAAAAGGAAAGTTAACATGAATTAAATTTCCTAAACATTCCGCATGCCACCTATATTTATCAATGGAGGTTTTTATAATAGCAATATGCGCATATCGTGAAAATATTGTGAGAGGATCGGAAATCGTGCGTGTTTTTTATTAAAGGGGTGAGAAGACATGAGCCCCTGAACACTGGCGTACTGACGGGGGGGGGGGGGTATTTCTAATTCGATACCAGTGGTTTACAAATGTTGCTGAAATGACATGATTTTCTGATATTTTTTCTCACTTTTTTTGTACGTCATACTTTTTTATGCGTTTATAATTGTTGGAAAACTAGAAATTCCCCAATTTACAGTCGGGCGAAAAATATGTTTATTTAGAAGCTTTCATGTCAGGACCTGCAGAACGGCTGGGCTCGGGGGCTCAGGCGCCCCTCATTTAAAAAAAAAAGTATGTTACAGAGAAAAAGAAAGAAAGAGAGACAAAAAAAATTAGTGACCTGCCGATGTCACAAATGAGGTATCAAAATCTGCTCATCTGACTATAATTAAATGCCTAAAGCCTCTGAGCTTACAGGGGGCTCCGCCCCTGGACCACACCAAGGGCCCTAAGGCGGTCCACTGAATGCTTATCTGACCGTAATTAAATACCCAAAACCACTGAGCTTCCGGGGGCTCTGCCCCTTGGACCCCCGCCAATTAGTGACCTGCCCTTGTCACAAATAACGTAGGCTATCTAAATATGCTTATCTAACCGTAATTTAATACCTAAAAACCCTCAGCTTACGGGGGCTCTGTCCCCTGGACCCCACCAAGAGCTCTAAGGGGGCCCCTGGATGCTCATCTGACCGTAATTTAATACCTAAAACCCGTGAGCTTCTGGGGGCTCTGCCCCTGGACCCCCGCCAATTAGTGACCTGCCCGTGTCACAAATAACGTAGGCTATCTAAATATGCCTATCTGACCGTAATTTAATACCTAAAAACCCTAAGCTTACGGGGGCTCTGTCCCCTGGACCCCACCAAGAGCTCTAAGGGGGGCCCCTGGATGCTTATCTGACCGTAATTTAATACCTAAAACCCCGGAGCTTCCGGAGGCTCTGCCCCCTGGACCGCCGCCAATGAGTGACCTGCCCGTGTCACAAATAACGTAGGCTATCTAAATATATATATGCTTATCTGACCGTAATTTAATACCTAAAAACCCTGAGCTTCCGGGGGCTCAGCCCCTTGACCCGCTGCCGTGGCTCAGGCCCTGGACCCACTGCCAATTTACGCTTTCTACGCTCTACCTGATCGTTAATACTCCACTTTGAAAAAACGTGCATAACATGTAAGAATGGTGGTGATTCAGATTTTTCTTCTCCTCCCCCCCCCCCCCCCATCCCAAACTGCTTCCAAACGTGTTTGCTCATTACGCCACTGCCCCTGGAAGATGCCCCTGGCATGTTTGCCCCCCCCCCCCATCCCAAACTGCTTCCGGCGCGCCTGGGAGGGGGTGTGGGGAGGTGCAACAACCCCCCCCCTACCCCACACCTGTTAGGATATTTTGGCTTGTCCGTAAAATTGCGCTGCTGTCGGGAAAATGAGAAAGGGGGGGGGGATGAAAAAGAAAGGGAATGAAAAGAAAGAGGAAAAATTAAGGGAAAGTAAGGAAAAGAAAGAAAAGGAAAGTAAGGAAAAGAAAGAAAAGAAATATAAGAGGATATTTTTTTAAAGAGAAAAAGGAAACAAAAGAAACGGGGGGGGGGGAGAGGAGAGAGAGGGGGTAAGAGCCTGAGAGGAGAAGGGTGGGAGTAAAGAGAGAGAGGTGAATGTTGGGTGGAGTCACCACGCCGAGGGGGCAAGAAAGGTACTCAAAGATAATTATGTTGCTGTGTAGGGTCCGCTGTGTCGATATTCTTGCTCAATCCTCGTGTACTATACCAATGCAGAAGTTTGAAGTCGGTAAGATGTATTATGTAGGTCGGCTGGCAATTTATTTCTTCCCTACTGTGACTTTTAATAGGACGAAGAAACATTTTTGAAATTTTTCTCTAATTATTTTAATGAAACGTCGAAACTGAATTCAGACGAAGATCAAGAGTCGAAAACAATACAACGAATCGTCTTCTTTCGATCTCTATAATAACGTCAAAGCTTTCGCGCTTCGCGCTGGAGGGGGGCTGAATTCAGCCCGGACCCCCTCCCCTGGGGGAAAAACAGGGGGAAAAATTACCTTTTTGGGGAGGTGGTCCCCCTCCCCTGCACTCAAAGGGGGGGGGGTGCGATTTTTCAAATTTTTGAGGGCCAATTAAAAGAACAAATTCCTGGATCCGCCACTGGAAGAGGGATGAGTTTTAATCACTGAACTGAAAATAGATTTTCATTTTTTAATTTTTTTTTTATACAAAACAAAATCGACCCAAATTAGTGGCCGAGTTTTTCTTGGTGGAAATGAAGCTGCGATCTGAAACTCAAAGCTAGCTGTACGTGCATTGTTACTCGATCTAGTCAAGAAATTCACTCTTTCTGAAGCACCGTAGTCACTGACATTATGGGTAGAAGTAGGTCCAGATCACCTAAGAGAAGAGGTAAGATTCTGACACCCCATTACATGGATTGTCCTACTGTTGATAGTTTTCTTTCTTTTTTTAGGACAACTCCAGCTCCAGGAAAAACACGTCGACTCTACGGCCTACATTAGGCAGCGCTACCTGAGCTTACCAGCTCACTTCCCCGGCCCGAACTCCCCGTGCATATGTGGCCTTCGCTTCGCTAGACCGGCCGAGGCCGAGTGTACTGCAGTACATTCATGCAATATTTTGTAAAACCTGCTGTATGACACACATAGGAGCATCACTATCCTGGCTGTGTAGTAAAACACACAACACTGACCACCAGTAGGCAGTAGACCTACATTAACGTTACATATTTAACAGACTGCTGCAGTACGAATACTTTTAAATTTAATAAATGGACTCTTGATTAATTAAATCGGATAGGCCTAGGCCTAACACCCACACATAGGAGCATCACTATCCTGACTGTGTAGTAAAAGCTGTGCTTTTGATTCTCAACATTTCAAACACCACTGTACAAAACTCAACTGATTTCACTCAAAATCGGTACTCTAGGTCTAGTGACAATCAATGACACCTAAATAGCAGTAAAATATATTTGTTTTAACTTACTGATGTTAAAAAGAATAATTTATAAAATCAAATTGTAAGTCTAGTGTCAAACTTTGCTTACAGCTGCCTCGACATGATTGTGTACAGTCTATGCGATATTGTGTGGTGTGTATATTTGTGTATAGACTTCTAGGTCCCTGCCTCACAGCATGTATGCAGTGCTAGAGGTCAATACGCTTTAGCATTGACTCTATATGCTTTGCTGGAGTGCTAGAACCCATCATTCATCACAAATACTTAACGAATGGTACTTACAAGTTTCGTTGGTGGAAATTTCCTTGGTTTCCAGACATCTGAGGCTGAGCCTACTTGTTTGCTGTACCTTATACTAAGTGCGCCACATCCCTCGCATCATCCCACCTACATGTACCCCCGCCCCTGAGCGTTTATGTATTTGTGCTTGCCAACTTTAACATTAATTACTGTTTATGAAATAATACACTTGTTTATTTTCACCGTAGAGAGGAGACGTTCAAGGTCACTTTCACCCAGAGATCGAGATAGAGACCTAGATAAGCGCAGGAGATTCACAGGTAAATGAGCAGTACTTGTGCATACACTGACTCATGTGCTTTGTAAACATACAGGCCCGAATTCACAAAGGAGGCTCGTCTTTTTGCGTGCATCATACGACGGGTTTTGACACAAAAATGTGTCAAAACGCGTCATATGACGTACATAAACCTTAGTTTGTCGACAAACCTCCTTTGTGAATTCGGACCTATGAGTTCTCCTGTGTCAGTGAGACTCTCAGCACAAAGACTCTACATTATTACTACAGTATTACTAAACCAGAAAAACCTGTATTAAAATCGTTCAGTTTAAGGTTTATGACCAAATGACCATGATCATTTCAGTTTGTGTACATTATACAGTGTACCTTTAAAAAAAGACTACCGTAGCCCCCACCAAAAAAAAACAACAACAACAACAGTGACTTGTTAGAGTAGTCTACTCATAACTGATTAACTTTTATAGAAGAAATGCCAGCTCACCATCTGATTGCTTGTCTACATCTGGAATTCATTAAAAACATGGAATTAGCTCAATTTTTATTTTATTGTGTATATTTATATAAATGCTATTTTCTGGTCCCATTTATCCTTTCAATGTTAAACATTCACATTTGATTGTTATATTGATGTAATTTTTGTGTGGATAAGAAACTTCAAACTCAAACACTCACACTCAAGACGACACGTTGTCGTTTATTATTTTAGTTCATAAAGTGGTAGAGGTGAGGAGTTCCATGTATTTTGCACATGCAGGTTAATTTTTTTGTGGAGGTTAGCCTCTGCATTTACTGTCAGTCTTGTATTGAGGAAATGTATTGTTTGTAAAAAGAGGTCAATAGAGGTCATTGTTACATTTACATACCAGAAGAGGCAAATTGAAGAAAAAATACAAACAAGGAAAAGTGGATGTATACGATACAGAGCTTGATATTGAGTGCTATGGTAGATTTAATTGCCATTTGGTTTGGTACATGTAAGTGCTTTTTTAATTTCATGAATGTCTTTGTTTTTAACAGAGAGACGTCGCTCTTACTCTAGATCAATTACAATATCACCAATGCTTGAGAAATAAAAAGTGAGAGAAAGAGAGAAGCGAAAACAATTAAATATCGCTGATGTTACCGGAGTTTATGACAAAAATTAAGCCGTCGGAAAGAAATAAAGAAACAAAAGTAAGTCCATTATCACCTGCGCTTGAGAAATGCAAAGAGCGAACGATCGCAGGAGAGACAGAAGCGAAACCAATTAAATATCTTTTGATTTCTATCAATTCTTATAGTGCATTCTATATCAAAACCATTCCGGCACGCAATATCAAGAAGGTAGTCGTTGCCGATCTCGCTTTTGTTTGGATGGCCCATTCACGGAGCATTCTAGAATGCACCAAAAATGCGACCATGATGACACTATTCCGGATGTAACAAGTCGTTAAGTACCGCACTCTAGCAATATTCTGGAATGCGGATTAACAGAACAATGGATTCTGAATGGGGCATTCTACGGGCATTCCGAATGCGTTCCGAATGCCAGTTGAATAAATCTGTGGCGCCTAAATGTTTTTGTAATTTCATGAATGTCTTTGTTTTTAACAGAGAGACGTCGTTCTCACTCCAGATCCAGATCACCTGTACGGAGGTTTAGGAGATCAAGGTAAGGTTCTAATTGGTTTACATTTTGGTTTTTTTTTCATTTTTGAACCTTTCTTCCAGAGACAAAGTACCTCTCTTTTTAGATAAGGTTAATGTTGCGAATAAGACAAATGTTTGTTGAGAATATGCAGAGATATCTAGAGATATCAGCTATTTGACGTCACTCTAGTTCTATACATGTAAAATAACTTGTAACTGTGACAGTTTCCGTATCCTGTATCGGGTGATAGTTAATTGTTCAGTTTTCATTGATTTTGAGATTGACAGTGCTTTCCATATTCCACATCCTCTAGGTCAAGATCCAGATCACCTCGGAGGAGAAGGTCCCGCACTCCATCACCAAGGAGGAGAAGGAGAAGCGAGTACGTCTTTCATCCTCAATTGCTTTATTCTTCAAATGCTGGTTTTGCTTTATTATGAATATCTCACAGATTAAATTCTGTCAGAACATTTGAAGAAAAAAATGGAATACAATGTGAGGGTCTATTTGTGTTGGTAATCTGAAGTTAAATAAAAGTTTGAATTCCCAAATGAGGATGATGTATTTAAAAGGGGAAATGGATTTGTGCAGTTAATTCTTCTCTAATTCACACAATTGCTGTACTAAATTAAAAGCATGAATTCAATGTGATGGTAAGCCGTAGTAAAGTTTCTTGGTGTTCATTACAATTTCAAAGTCTGCACCTTGTTGTTACATGATTTTAATTGAACGTTCCAAATGTTTGGTTATATGAATCTTCATTCAAACTGGTTCAATGATTGCCTTCCCAACCCTAATATGATTCTAATGATGTACATATTATAATTAGATTAATGCCTGTAGTTGCGATTTATGTAGCGCCTTTTCCACTGGATACAAAGAACTTTGAGATGCCATCCATGAGTTGGTGTTAAAGTTTTAATATATATACATGTATAGTGTGCATCAAAATAAAGTGTACCCAACTTTGGTAGCTCCTAATCAAAAAGTCATAACCAATATGACTTTGAAAGCTATTTCATGATGAAGAGTAATTTGATTTCTGTCCAGTAATACCCTATTCATAATATTTCTGCTACGGTTGACTGAGCACCAGGGTCTTTAAAAGTGTTATCAAAATCACCTTGTACCAATGACTTCAGTTTATTGATTCAATATCGTTTATTTGAATTTACTTCTGCAGAACTCCAGAAAAGCCCGGGCCTAGTGGAGGAAAGCAGGAAGCAGAAATGCCAGAAATTGATGGTAAACTAAATGCAATATCGTCCGTACTTATTGGTAGATAAAGATAAAAGTGACTCTGCACTGTCAAACCTCTGCAAACTTCAGTGGAAGAAAATGATTTCTGGTAGAAGCATCCCATGTTATCCTTCATTGTTTTCATTCAAACTAAGTTTTCATACACTTATATATGTAATCCTCTAACTTCCTTATCTCTGGGTGTTTTTCTCATTTGGAAGTCTATGTATATATATTATCCAACATTCTACATGTTTAAACTTATTTTGAGTTTAAGTTTTGGTAATGAAATTGCATTTTTGAGACTGGCTTGAATTAAATTCAAATTGTTTATTGTGCAATATATGGGTTGTTTGGACCTGCAAAATATATTTTTTTAAAATTTATCCCAAAAAAGTTTACTGGAAAATGCTTTTGCTTACACTGAAAAGCACAACTCTCATTTGAACATACGAGACCATAATATGATAGGATGATAAGCTTGATTTCCTCAATTTATTACATATTGCTTAGCTTACATTTACCACACCTAAAATTGTTTGGCAGATATCACTTAAATCGTAGTGCTGAACATGAAATTCAAGTTACATTTGATTTGTGACCACTCCTGTTTGTCTCTGTCAGACCCCAAGATAACCTTGAACCTAAAACCTCATCATGTTTTGTGTCTTGTATGTGAATTTAGAGAAACAGTTGGAGGACATGACAGAGGATGAGATTGAGATGATGAAGGTGATGGGTTTTGCTGCCTTTGATACAACCAAGGTGAGTCAACATGTTAGTACACAAATGGGAAAGTTTATGCTTGTCTTTTGTGTCCATTAAGCTTTTAAGCCATAGCAGTTCAGAGATTTCTAATTTTCTAAATTCATTAGTTTTCCCTCCTCAAAATGGCAACAATTAATCTTATTTTTCACACTTTCAAACTTTGAAATATATAATGTTTATTGAATGAAGCAATGTGAAGAATATTGCAAAATTTAACCCAAAATTCTTTTTGTGCCAATTTGTATATAAAAATAGTGATGTTATAATTGCATTGCCAATTTAGAGACTTCATTAATGATTAGTTACAATTTAATTACTCTTAATCAAGAACGGCGCAACGTGCTGCATTGAAAATAAACTCAGAATTTTCTGTGATCTTTCCTCTCTACTCATGTAAAATGTAAAAACCCTAGCATTCTGGATCAAAAGATAATGCAAAAACGTCACTATTAAAGGAGACACTTAACTACTAAGCCAGGGGTGAACAAATATCATGGAATACTGAGTAAATGGTACTTATCATGGAAAGTGTCACCATCCTTGATGTAACCTTTGATTTAACCTACAGTACATACAATTATTAGAAATATTAAAATCTTTGATATAGTTGGTAATGTATGGGAAAAAATACCTTTGACTTGCCAGAGCTTATCCATTTTGTCTGGTCAAGTCGAAGTAATCAACTGTTATCTTTCAAATTGGCAATGCTGATTGTCTTATTTAACGACTAGGTACTCTTTCCCAATGGCAAGTCATGTATGTGAAATGAAGAAACATGAATGTTGTTTATAATAGCTCTAAACATTGCCAAGTCGTATAAATTTTCTATGTTTATAGTTTTATATGTTAGTAAATAATTGATTAGATACATACACATACTACCAGATTGTGTTTATTTTGCTTTACACAGGGTAAACGTGTGGATGGAGCAAATAATGCATTTGCTGCTAATATACAAACCAAGAGGAAGTATAGGTAAGCATTGTAGTGACTGTACTTTCCCTTGCATTTCTTTTGTTTCTGCTATGATTATTATTCAAGCAATGGACAGTGTCATCTGCCTTTGCAAAATCAGGTAATATTTATATTCTCATATTTTTATTGTATACCTGTACTTGACATATGAGTGGTCATGAGGACTGTTATCATAAAACAAAACAAAGGCACAGAATGGCCAGGATAACCGATGATGCAAGTAACTGTCAGATGTGCAGAAATTTGCAAGAGATAGGAAATTACAGTCTTATTTTCAAACATTTTGTGTTACTATTGACTTTGTTTATTTATTTTGTCTTTGTTACAGGCAATACATGAACAGGAGAGGAGGCTTCAACAGACCTCTAGATTTCATCGCTTAGAATTTCTCATGAACTCAATCATTTAAAAGTGAGTGGTGAAGGAGTACCCAGGTTCACTACATCCCAACTCACTCGCAAGAGACTTGTCATATTTGCACAAACAGTGCATGTAGCCTTCAGAGATGTGGGATACTTACTGGCCTCTGCAGGACTACCGTTCACTTGGGATTGCTCAAAGAACATCAAACATTTTTGTGCAGAGGAAAGTCTCTTCTATTAGGATTTTTACTTCAAGTCGTTGACCTGTCGGTCTTAATCTTGAACAAGTATTCTGGATGACCGATACTCCCGATCGGTGGCAAGGTACCCCGTGTGATATCCTGATCCTGTCTTAAGAATGTACCACTGTAAATATAGTTGTATACTCTTGCAGTCACTGTTATATCTCCGCAATTCCCTGATGTCATTGTCTAGAGTATGTGATTTATTAAAGCACATGTTCTTTGTTCCTTTTATTTATTCATAAAAGAAAAGAAGTAGAGCAGAGCAAGAAATCACTATGGTTTGAAAACGGCAGGGCTGGTCTCTGCCTCTTAAACCAGCCCATTAAAATAGAAAAAGAAAGGTAAATTACATTAAATTAAATTTGTAGGAAGGGACAAAGTATTTCCGTTTCAGATTATTGGTCTGAAAGTTGTGGAATTTGGTTGGTACAGTTTTCACACCACAAAATAAAAGCTCCCATGGTGTTCCCATTTTTTCTATCACTTTCAATCAAGCAATTCGGCTCGACAGTTTAACCCAGTAATTTTCTACATGATACTATATAAATTGTAATCAGTCCTTTCTGAACTAGAATTGTTTAGACAGTTTTTTTTGTTTAATGTCTAATATGTGGACTATGTTTAGTAGTTAATTTTTTACTTAGCAAAGTGAATAAAGTGTGATGCAATGAAGACCCTGCAGACCTCTCTTGAAGCATGTGCCAACTAATGTGCAAATGTTATGAGAGTGACTCTGTATTGATTTTTGAATCATAATAATAATAAATAATAATAAAAACGTTACTTATAAAGCGCTTACCACCAAAGTCTCTAAGCGCTATACACACAAAATAGACTGATATTCATATTCATGAATGTTACCTGATATTTTATAAGCTGTTGTACAGTATAAGAAATTTGAAGATACTCTACACATTTACATACCGTAGCTATTCTAATCTCTAACGAGCTGAAGACCTTAATGAGTATATCTTGTCATTAATTGGTCAAACAATTGTTGGTCCCAAGTAAAGTTATCCCTAACCCTATACATTGACTGCTATCGAACACTGTGTAGATAAAGAACTATGATAAGCGTGTGGCTAGAACTTGCAGGGGACAAGTCAGGCTTTCTTACAGAAAGAGGAGTTAAGTTCCCTCCCTCAAATTTTATGTACTGTAAGCTGTATCATAAAATGGGTTGCTCAAATCTCAAAGCTATAAAATTTACTGTTGCCCACACACAGTCATATTCCATACTCAGCCGAAAATCTGAATTTACAGACTTTTATCCGTACTGAGATTGGAGTACAACGGAGTCGTTTTTTATATTGTATAGTATACAATTGTGCTGAATGTCAAGTTCATGTAAATGCTACCTGTATTGGTTTTGATAAAGATATTGCTCCTTCAGTTTTGCAATTCTAAGCAGTCTCTTTAGTCTCTTTGATCTCTCTAGCTAAAATAATTTTATATCTTCAAAAAAGAAAAGATTTATAGACAAACAATAGGTGGGTCCTTAAGAATGTTTTGCCATTGTATAAAACTGTTAATTTTCATGTTTCTTTACGTGTACAGTCTATGACATGTTTTTATTTTATTTTTCCTTTTTCCTTTTTTATACAATATCATTATTATTTCCAACTTAGAAATGTATTGCCCTGCATATACAGATTCTTGTAATGGAAATCTGCATATGTACATGTATGAGGTTATGCGAGTAAATATTTGTTTTTTCCAGTGAATGTGTTGCATCGTGTTTATTCTTTCTTTTTTTAAATTTTCTTCTCACCACACGTCGTTTGCACAGTGTGTCTGTTATCTTAAATCTGATTTAAAGGTAAAGACCAGTATTGGAAACCGTACGCCCCAATTTCAAAAAATGAAATGGAAGCTCTCATTACCAATCATGTGAAAGAATATGTTTTGACTAATACATGATGATAAAAAATTTGCCGGGAAACCGCCTACTAATTCATATATTTGGTAAATTTGTTTCTCTCATGGTCTGTGAGAGATATAGGGTAGTCCCATATACATCTTTCTGTGTATAGTGCTTGTAACTTTACGAAGAATGGGCCAAATTTCTTATCATTTTGAGGATTCCAGAACCTTGCAGATGCTAGATGCTAGATGATCAACCTTTTCTGATCGATTCCACAACGTTTCTTTCACAATGCAATCGCATGACCATAACTGGTCTTTACCTTTAAGGAGTATTTCACCCTGATAATAATCAGCAAAACAAGAGAAACAAATTAGTGAAAGTTTGAGCAATATCCAATTAGAAATGAACAAAAGTTATGAATTTTTAAATTTGTTATCGGTGAAACACAAATTGCCAACACTGAGTTTATAAAACCATTCATGTATTTGCAATAATTATATTACGGGTGCATGAATGATTGAACATTTTCTTAGGGGAAAAGATAGAAATTCTGATTATTTTTTTTTTTAATAGTTTTTAGTACAGTATAGTAAATGGGAGGAGATCTCGAAAGAGATGTCACTGAGTTGCCAGTTTGTGTTTGATTGATCACAACTTCAAAACTTTTCAATCTTTTTATTTTTAATTGGATTTTGCTCAAAATATCACTGGCCTGTTCTCATTTTTCTGTCTCTATTATAACAAACCTAGTATCAGAGACAGAAGGGTAGTGAAAGAAAGATGACGGGTGAAAGAGATGGGCATTGGGCAGTAAAAGACAGAGATTGAGACGGAGTAAGAGTAAAGTGGAGAGAGAGTGAGAGAAATTAAAAAGGAATTAAAAAGAAGGAAGAATGGGAATGAGATGAGTCAGATAATCTGAACAACAATCAAAATTGTCCTTGTTATGTCTTATATCTTGTAGTGCTTGATTGAGATGGGGTGTTTTTTAATGCTTATATCTGGGCTTTGTCCAGTATGGTGGGAGACATCATTATGGGAAGGGGGAGGTGGTTGTGAATATTTCATGGATTGAAGACTAGCCTGTATTCCTAGGTTGCACTGAAGTAGATAAATCACTGTTTTTGTTTTGTTAGTACAAAGAGAAACGAACCTTGGAAGTTACATGGTCCAGAGGGTGCACATAATTCAATGTATAAGTTCCTAACCAAATCTGGTAAAAAAAACGAAATTTCTTATTTTGCATTATTAATATACTCTGGCATGATTTTACAAAACATGCAGTTGTAAATTCTTTTTGATGTTAGATGTCGGCGTTTATATACTTCATATTCAATTTGAGTGTTTGGTGATTACATTAGTGTAATCTAATGTTTATTAATACATGCAGTGGCGTAAATTTCGCAAGGACTCAGCCACCCGCTGAATAAGCGGAGCGAGAGGGGGGGGGGGGGTAAGAGCAATTTTTTTTTGGGGGGGGGGCCTGGAAATGTCATCGTTTTTTTAATTTAAAAAAAAATTAAGGGGGGGCGGGTTATAAAAAATTACACACATAAACAAATTTGAGGGAGGGAGGGGTTTAACCCCACCCCCCCCCCTTCCGCTGCGTACGCGCCTGAATACATGCAGGAAATTACAATTACATTGTAATAAGAGGGGTCTCGAGTACTGTAATTGCCCTAGCAACACCCCCATTATGCATCCAACACCATGTACGCTACAGTTTATAGTTTTGCCATTTATGTCAACGCTTCAAAGCTACCTTTCTAATGTCGAAATCGTGAGGGAATAGTATCTTTCATTTGCTTCTCGAATTTTAGTGGAATTCCCCACCAATTAACTGTCATAAAGAACGCAACATGATGAAGTGATTTTCAATACCGTTTATATATGAATGACAAAGAAAGAGCTGACTGAGCGCCCTTGCCTCTCATCTTTTCTCGCTGATATTCGACTACCAAGTACCAGGTCCAGGCCGTGGCGTTATTCGACCCCGGAGCTTCAGGCGTCGCAAGAACGAGCGCAAAGTGGTGAGTACCGGCGATGTGCAGATTAGTTTACCACCAGCAGTACCATGCCACCATGCAGTGTCCGTGTGCGAGCACGAGTTTGGGGAAATGAAGGAAATAAAAGAGAACATGTAAAGTGATAATAAATGAGTTTGCCATATCCGACCTGGACCAGATTTGCACCTTGCGAATAATAAGGCAAAAAAACACAAAACATGTTAGTCTATTACACTTAAATTTAGCGTCCTGTTTTTTTGAAAAACAGGAAGGAGGAGGTGCTAGGTGTAGGTGGTGAGTACCGGCGATGTGCAGATTAGTTTACCAGTAGTCAGGCAGTGTACGTGTGCGAGTTTGGAGGAAATGAAGGAAATAAAAGAGAACATGTAAAGTGATAATAAATGAGTTTGCCATAGACTGCCCTGGACCAGTGTAGTAGTATAGTACTATATTTGCACCTTGCCAATATAAATGTCTGTGTGTGTGGTGGGGGGGGGGGGGGTAACTCCATGGAAGCTCTGATGCTGAGCTTCAGGTGGTGCATCGAAAAACATTCAAACAGCGGGTTCAGCCACATCTCAAAATATGCAAAGGGAGTAATTTCAATTTTGACTTACTAGGTTGCTCGACTCCTCTGGGCATCTATCTGGCAACCGGCGAAGAGAAAGTATGCATGCATACTTTCTCTTAGCCGGTCGAATCGACGATACAACATGGAAGAATCGTCAGGGTAGGACGAAGAATCACCCCCTTTTTCCCATCGAAGACTTGTCCAAGTTATAATTTCAAGTTGCCAGATACTGTAGATGCCCAGAGAAGTCGAGCAACCTAGTAAGTCAAAATTGTAATTACTCCCTTTGAATATTTTGAGATAATGTCACCCAACACGCTGTTTGAATGTTTTTTGATGCACCACCTGAAGCTCCGACGCCTTCGGCATCTGCGTCGGAGCTTCCTGGAGTTAGGGGGGGGGGGGGGGTGAGATTTTGATTTGAATTTTAGATTGTAAACTAATCTAGACTCTATGTCTAGTACATGAAAGTCAAACAAAAAGAGCTGGTGAAATGTTTTATTTGGGAGACATGGATTTATCAAAAAGATTTTTGAAAAAATAAAGTGTTTCTTTTTTACCATTTTAAAATTAAAGATAGTCTAGACCTAGATCTAGGTCTATGTCTATGTTAGGAAAATTCACAACATTTTCTGTGAAAGACAATTTTTTGGTCTGCAATAATATATCTTTATCTCCCAGGTTTGTGACGCACACATCTCTTCTTATAGTGCTCAACAGACAGTGACATGGCGAAGAGCAAGTTTGAGTATGTTCGTCAATTGAGACCCAAGACAAACTTCTACCAAATTCTTGGATCGTCATCAGAATAGATGAAAGAACTTCCACAAGTAGGTCTTCAGGTCTAGGAGGTGTACTTTTAACACATACAACTGCGCATGCCATCGTTGAGACAAGTTACATATCAATTGGCACCTTTTTATGCATCCAATATGAAAGAAATTTAAGTAAATTCTCAAGATGAGGGTAGGTCGATTTTACACACCTGCAAAAATTCATTTTGTTCAATTTTTCTTTTCTTCAATTGATAAAGTTATTCCAGAAGAATTTCAAGATTAGTTAAGTGAATGTTCAATATGAAAAAGTCTAGAGTAGTTAACAAAATTAAATGTTACAGTTTTTAAGAAATAAAATTTGATAGAACCCCCCAAAAAACAAAAAAAACAAAACAAACAAACCAACAAACAAACAAACACGTTTACTGTATACCAGTACATATAAATAGGTACAGTGTTATGTAAATATTCTAAAAAAGAATGAAACGCCGATAATACCAAACAACAACAACAACAATAGAATAAAATTTAATCAGAGTCCTTCATTTTTACCTGAACCGTTCATGATTTACTTGTCATTTTTAAAGGTTTTCAGATATTCATGGCTTTGAGAAACCCAACGACCTGAGAGGTCTTTCGCTGATGTCGGAAGCTGCTACTAGTGTAATGACCGAGTTCAAGGACATCATCTTAGCATATGGTCAGAGTGATGAGTACAGCTTTGTCATGAAGAAGGATACTACTCAGTATGGGCGCAGAGCCAGGTACTGGTAGCTGTTGATAAAGTACACTTGTAGTGGCATATATTGGCAAATGAGATAGAATTTGTGCTGAATGAAACCTTGAAAGTGGGAATAGAAGTTTTTTTTTTATCAGCTTTACCTCAAAGCATTTATGTTAAAAAGGTATTACTGAATTACTGTATTTTTGAATATTTGAGGAAGTATAATTTCAATAATTAAATAAATATATTGTGGATTAAAAGTCAAATTGCCAAAAGCAGTGTATTGGAAATTACAACATAAGAATCTGATGTAAATTACTGACTGTTATGGTGAAAATAAATATTTTGAATTTTGAATTTTGAATTTATTGGAATGAAATATAATTCTACATTTTATTCCTTCAAATTATCTAATAATCATTGCTTTAATTTAAATTTTTGAACTATCTTTATCAGAAGGCAACCTTTGTTTTCTTGTTTATTGTACCTCCATCCAGCAAGCTAGCTACTACAGTATCATCCCTGTTTGCATCATCGTTTGTCTTCTTATGGCCCAAGTTCTTCCCTGATATGCCTCTCCAGTATCCTCCAGCGTTTGATGGTCGGTGCGTCCTCTACCCATCAAACAAGAACCTTAGAGACTACCTCAGCTGGAGACAAGCAGATTGTAAGTGGAAATCCTCATTCACACTTAAAAGATACTATGTTTTCCTTCATTTTTGTAACCCTTGTCAAATTTTTGTGTGAGATTGTGACATGTACCAATTATGTACATGGCATTCTTCATTTATTTTTGTATTGTGGAATATGTGATTATGTTTCATGTATTTGTCTTCCAAAAACGAAATTATTCTCGCAGTGATGTCAGAAAGTTTCTTATAGTTATTCAAAAAAATGTTACTACAATGATCAAACCGGCCTTGTAGGACACCTTTCTTCTATGGTCAACTAATCTACAAAGATGACATTTCTTGTTTTATGTGTGTTTTTTTTCTGATTCAATTTCCCAAAGGATCAAGTGTATGTAAAACTCACCTGTGCAAGAATCATTCTTCTTGAGCAGTATTTCTATGAAGTTCAGACATGGTTAATTTTACTGTTAGTGTTACTTCTTGCTATTTTAGGTAATAAGTCTGTGAACATTTAAACTTATGTTATCTGTATTGATATCTTTTATGTAAGTTAAAGACATCTACATCTACTAACTGATGATGATTAGCATAGTTACTCACAAAAGATGGTGGTAACCTAATTGTTGCTATCTTTAATATTTCAGGTCACATCAACAATCTGTACAATACATGTTTCTGGACTCTCATTCAGCGAGGAAACTGCTCACCTAAAGAGGCAGAAGAGAGACTTAAGGTTAGTGTGGATGCCATTTATTGTAATACACAAATTTTCCTGTCTAGATGCTGAGGTTGTTCAAAGCAACATAGTTGTTAAGCTATGAAGCACACTGTTGGGATAGAATAATGCAGTATCTTGATTTTTTTTAAGGCGAATTCGATAACAGATTAGACTTATCGGAAAAGGTGCTTGAAATTACAGGCATATCCAGAATATGCATAGAGTTGCTTCACGTTCCAAAGGCATTGTCCTGTCCCGTCTTTTGATATGTTCTTCTTTTAAAGTCTCCCTTTAAAGGGATCCGGTAACTTTGTTTCAGATTCTGAAACAAAATCCTGGATTTAGCTCATGCTGCAATGATAATTATAAACCTTTAGGACAGTCAGGAACCCTGTGACTTTTACAAGCCGATCGCCTGTCTGATTATTAAGATATTTATGATTGTAATTACAAATTTTGAAAACTGTTTGCCAAACGGTTTTCATAACACTACAGTCTATTGGGGAAAACGAGTATGGTAAAACCAGTCACTCAAAGATTTTTACTTTTTTGAGGCAATTCTTCATCATTTTGAAGCGCGATTCTTTTAGGGCTTCAATATTATACCATAATGACATACACTGATAACTAGTAGGGCCGTGCATCTTAGATTTAACATTGTTAAACTATGCCTTTAAACTGTTGAATATGGTATGACATGCATTTTCACCTAGACTCCAACCTGATAAATCATTGGTAGCAAAAACTATTGAAATGTAATATTACTGTGATAAAGAAATTACTGGTATTACTATTAAGACATTTTGATATTGTATTGGTGTATTTAGGATGCTCTCTTCGTTACCATAGTAACATTTTCTGTTTGTATTGAAGGGGACTGTTTCGGGTGACAAGAATGAGCTCCTCTTCTCCCAGTTTGACATCAATTACAACGCTGAACCTGAAGTATTCCGGAAAGGAACCACACTCACGTGGAACACGGTATGAATTACGAATGCTACAATATGATATTCAAAATTGTTCCAATATTGTTCATCTAGGAAAATATGTTCAGAACTGGGTGTTAGCTTTGGAAAAGGTGATGTATTTGCCTTGAAAGCATTCAAATAATATCCTATCATACTGGAGAGCCAGGAGTGTCATATATGACAGAAATTATCTGTAATGGGCGATCTAACTACACAGGTTTTCGCACCTTCATGGAAAGCCCCGCATATTACCTTTGTAAATATAGTTAACGTTTACTGTTACTTTGTATACTTTGATTTTTATATTGCAAAATAAATTGAAATGAATTGAATTGAACGATGATTAGCACTTCCAAATCAAGTACCCATTAATATTATTTTTATTTTTTTCCACATAGCCATTTAATACATTCAGATCAAGGGTGTACTACAGTGTATGTAGTTAGCTCCTCTCGGGATAAGTGCAAACGTTACAAGTGCTCATAGTTGATGAGTGCCCATTGACAAGAACTCGATCCATCCATGGAATGTGGAAAAAATTCTCTATAAGTTGGTTTGGTTTTGCTGCTTTGATAAAATCTTGATAGCCCTCCATATACCGGAGTGTTGGCTCAGTCAGTAGAGTGTCCGCCTCACAACCGGGAGGTCGTGGGTTCGAACCCCGGCCGTGTCATACCAAAAGACGTAAAAGATGGGAGTTGTTGCTACCTTGTTTGGCATTCAACAATAAGGGATAGAGCAACGTCGACTGGCGCTGCTCAGTGGCTGCCGGGCTCACAATCAATTGGGCAAAAGAATTTCCGTTTCGGTTAATAAAATTTGGAGTGGACTATTAGGCTATTATTATTATTATTATTATTATTATTAAATGTATATTCCTTTATCTCTGTAACATTGTATTGTTATGAATACCCTTTCTGAGTCGTTGCTTAAAGCTGATGAATAAAAGCCAGCTCTGTGCGTAAGTTTGCCCTGTCCTGATGCAAGATACATATAGTTTGTTAGCAAAAAGCTTTATCCTTTCAGATTGCATGTGAATGTGATTCGTTTATTTTCCTTTCTATTATAGGTTGAAGAAGAGGTGCTATGTGGACAAGGAACAGAGTTTGAAAAGACAGTGACAAAACAAGAAGAACAGTTCAGAAAATTCACAAGGACATAATTGGAAACAGTTTTTGGACTGAACATCCAGAACTGCTCGGAACAGAAGTTAGATGACCCCTATGTATGCTCCAAAATGTCGGACGATAAACAGGGTTCTATGTATGTATGTAAAGAGGACTTTTCCAGGAAACATGGACAATTTGGGCTCCATTATCTTACAAACACTACCAATCGAGGCAGACAAAGTCTAACAGAAGTTTTTCATGAAATCAAGTTGAAGTATCTATTCCACACATAACATGAGGACAATGTGGCTAAAGTGAAATCAGTGTCTAACACTATGTTGAGAGATTCAACTACTTACTCATCTTAGGCATCCTGTTTTCTTATCTACAAGAATTTACATGTTCATTCTTTCTTAGCCATTGGGTGAAATAACCAACCTAAACCTAATGAATTGAAGCCAGCACTGTGCATACGGAGTCGGGCTAACTCGGACCCGGGGACAACACGGCCCCGCTGCAAAGTGCTCAGTTTTTGCAGGTTTAGGGTTAGGGTTAGAGTTAGGGTTAGGTTAAATGACAAAAACTGACCGTTTTTGCAGCAGGCCAAGTTGTCCCTGGGTCCGAATTAGCCCGGATCCGTGCATACCTGTGCTCTGTTGAAATGCAACATAGTTTGTTAGCAAATAGCTCTATCCATTCAAATTGGATGTGGAGTGGATTTCCTGTGTGTAAAAGGAGAATTAAATCCTGTGCATATTGAAAACCTCATTTTGAATGTAGGTGAAAACCAGGGATCCCATCGTAAAAGGAAAGTTGCAATTGATCGCCATTGAACTTCTGCCTTCAAACACATTCCGTATAAACTAGTTTCCTCAATGGTGTATATTGTGCAAAATCTATTCAATCTTGACAGGGTCATACGAGACAAGAACACAAACTAGTAACAAGTTTCCTTTTTTTATACTCGTTGAAAGGAAACAAATGACCCTGGAAATCAGGTACACATGAATGGTGAATAACATAGTGGTTCCTTTCAAAATAAAAGAGAAATTATGTTTTTATTAATCATGTGCTAGATCTTTCTGATGCTAATTTTTGGCAATCCCATTTTCTATTGTTTTTAAAATCTGTGAAAGGTGCATTACTTGCTGTGGTATAGTGGTCCATTCAGTTGACTCTCATTCCAAGGGTTTAGAGTTCAAATATTAGCCCGGCACTAATGTCCTTAATCCCCATAATCCACATTTGCCACTTTCCACCCAGGTGTAAATGGTAATTGCTGGGGTAATGATAATTGCAGACCTCTTAGGAAGAGCAATATTGAAACTGACGTGGCTACCCAAAATTATTTTTTATTTACCTGCATTTTTTTTTTCTGAATTGTAAGGTTTTTTTCTTCACCAAATGAATAATGAAATCAACATGTTTCTTTTCTCTTTTTATTTTGTGGAAAGGTTCTGTTTTGCTTCTAAATCTTTTTTTTTCTATCTTTCTTATATTTCACTTTGAGTTCCTTTCTTTACTGCTGTCTGCCCTTGTTTCTGTTTCCAGACAATTATCCATTCATGCGATCAAATAATATTTTCTAGTAGTTTTTATCAGCTTGTGGAAAAAATCATACCCAATTTTTATGAGAAGGGATGTTGAACGTTCATGATTTAATTTCTTGTCTCAGACTTGAAGAACAGTACATATTTCTGCTCTTATGGAAAATATTAAATATATATTACTTATAAGAATGTGGTCCACATACTATATGAACTCTGTGTTTGTGTTTATCATTTCTTTTCCAAGATAAATAGTTGAGTCAGGTAGCCGGTGAGTGAGAAAGGAGAGAGGAAAGAGGGGGGGGGGGGGGGGGGGGGGGGGGGGGGGGGAGAATGAAAATCAAAGAAATAAATGGTTGCATAAATGGAAATACATGTGCATGATAGATGAAGTAAAGAATGAGGTTCATGGGGATAAATAATAAATACTTTAAAAAAAGGCTAGAAACAATGGGATTTTAATAGAAACTGAAATAATGACATATAAATTCAAATTCAATTTATTGATTTCAATCCAAAAAGATAAGGTCATTCTCAAATAAGAAGACATAAGACACCGAGAGAGGCAGGGGGGGGGGGTCAATGAATTCTGAGAGCTTGAAAAGGCAGAGTTACTGGTTCCAATTGATTTCAACAATCATTAGGGACTTTTAGCATGTAACATAGTGGACTGCTTTGTGTGACATACTTTTAAAGCCTGTGACGTCCTTTGAAGGCACTGCCAGTGCCTTCGAAGGACGTATAAACACCTGCAGTCCACTTTATGTCAGGTGCAAATCTAAAAGCCTCTATTATATCACGAATTTCCATATCTCTGTAAGTTTTGTTTTATTTCTTTAAAATAAGGTGCTAAATAATTGCATTAAGTTCATGATTTGATATGGGCATGCAGCTGTCGGGACTTGACTCCTCTTCTACTACAATATGCCTGGAGTAGAACCTTGAGAAGCCAAATGGTTATTATAATCATGAAGAATTAAAACTGCATTTTTTGCAAATAGGAATAATGGTTGCTCTCCTCAAAATATTTTTGAAAAAATTGCATATTAATTCAGACAGTGATGTCGTGGAAGGCTGCGGCATGCAAGAAATTTGAAAATGATCCATCCCCCCCCACCCCCCCCCCCCAGGCGTGGATCCAGGATTTCTTAGGGGTGGGGCCCAAATTGAAATCAATTTGAAATTGAGTGTGCTGAAATATGAAAATCGTGGCGGTCAATATTTCGCGCTCAGTGGGGGGGGGGGGGTGCAGTGGCGGATCCAGGGGGGGGCCGAAACGACGCGGCGCCCCCCCCCCCCCTATTGGCAGCGCAAAATAAAGAAGAAAAAAAAAAGAGGAAGAAAAGAAGAGAAAAAAGAAAGGGAAGAGGAGAAAAAAAGGAGAAGAGAAAAGAAAGGAGAAGAGAAAGGAAAAAAAGAAGAAGATAAAGAAAAAGCCCCCCCCCCCCTCCTCCAACTCCGGGTCAGAGGGACCCATTTGTGTTCCCTAAATTTCCCGATAAAGAGTTACTTTTCACGAACAAAGTCCGGCCCGCAATACACAAAAATCCGCCCGTACTGACTTTACACACCGGAGATAGAGGGGTGCTTTCAAAGAGAGGGAACATACAGTCATGTGCGTACCCTGGATAACACTGAGTGTGTGTGCAGTGGCGGATCCAGGGGGGGGGGGCCCGGGGGCCCGGGCCCCCCCCCTGAGAAAAAATCATGTAAAATCACGTGATTTTTACGATTTTTGGGGTTGGGCCCCCCCCCCTGGCGCTCAGGGGGTTGTGCAATTGAAATTTTTTTGAGGATCAAAAAAAAAAATGTGCTCACTACCCCCCCCCCCCCCCCCCCCCCCCCCCCCCCCCCCCCCCCCACTGAGCGAATTTTTGGCCGGCGCGTTTTTCAAATTTTCGGGAGCAAAAAAAAAAAAAAAAAAAAAAAAAAAAAAAAATTGTGCTCTGTACCCCCCCCCCCCCCCCCCCCCCCACTGAGCGACTTTTCGGCCGGCGCGAATTTCAAATTTTCGGGAGCAAAAAAAAAAAAAAAGCCCCCTCCCCTAAGAAATCCTGGATCCGCGCCTGGTGTGGTGGGGAGGGGGGGGGGTGGGGAAAAGAAAAGTCGGTGAGAAAGGGGGAAAGACAATGAAATGGCGCTAAGTGACAGTAACGACAAATATGGGAAAACTGTAATCGGGAGATTTGGGGTCATTCCAGAAGGCTTGGCAAACGTTATTGCATAGAGGGGGGCCGGGCCGGCCGCATAAAATCTCGAGCCGCGGATTCAAAGTTAAACGTTAAGAACAGCCCCTGCGGTCATCACTCTTTAGTGAGAAATTTGAAAAGGTCACAATATTTTGGATGTCTTTTAAATAGAAGTTATATACTCAACAGTCAAATTTTAAATTAACGGTAGGGCCGCTTCACAACTCTTATTTTGCCCTTCATTTGGATTCAGCTCATATCGACTCGCTTGTGCTTGTATTTGAACTCATGTTGGTAGTAATCATGGACAGGGGCGGCAATCCTGGGCCCGATATGGGGACACGTCTCCCAGGAAATTTAGAAATATAGCTGAAAAGAAATATAGTGGAAAGAACGTATATATTGGGCTTAGGGATTTTCTAGAATGCATCATTTCAGCATTCAACATTGCAAAATCTCGCTTGGTCGCTACGCCCCGCCCCGGCCCTTGCCCGATAACACAAAACTATGACGCTCCCGGCCGTGATTTATCCATGGTTGGTGTAATAGATCTTTTTTCCCTTTCATTTCTACTAACCTAATTGTGTGCAATCACAATCATGATTGTTTCACTTTCCCTTTAAAGCAGGCGCGTAGCCAGGGGCGGTAAGGGCAGTAAGAGGATATAGGACGAAAAAGGAGCAGACAAAGAAACATTTTTGAAAATTCTGACAAATCGAGAACGGTACAACGAATCGTCTTCTTTCTCTATTAATTTAATGAAATGTCAAAGCTTCCGCGCATCGCTCGGGAGGGGGGCAACTGCATTCAAACAAGGATTAAGACTCGAGAATGGTAAAACGAATCATCTTCTTTCTCTAATAATTTAAGGAAACGTCAACGTTTCCGCTCTTCGCGTGGGAGGAGGAAAACTGAATTCAAACAAGGATTAAGAGACGAGAATGGTAAAACGATTCGTCTTCTTCCTCTAATAATTTAATGAAAAGTCAAAGCTTCCGCGCTTCGCGCGGGAGGGGGGGGGGGGGAACTCAATTCAGGACAAGGATTAAGAGACGAGAATGGTAAAACGATTCGTCTTCTTCCTCTAATAATTTAATGAACCGTCAAAGCTTACACGTTACGCGCGGGCAAAGGAAAACTTAATTCAGACAAGGATTATGAGTCGAGAATGGTACAAAGAATCGTCTCCTTTCCCTTATAATTAAATGAAACGTCGAAGCTTCCGCGCTTTGCTCGGGAGGGGGAGGGGGAAACTCAATTCAGACATGGATTAAGAGTCGAGAATGGCCGGTAAAACGATTCGTCTTCTTTCTCTAATAATTAAATGAAACGTCAAAGGTTTCGCGCTTCGCGCGGGAGGGGGGGGGGGGGGGACTCAATTCAGGAAAAGGATTAAGAGACGAGAATGGTAAAACGATTCGTCTTCTTCCTCTAATAATTTAATGAAAT